TGCTGATTCAATAAATTCCGATTAGAAAAATTAAGCCTTTGGGTACAAATTATTTCGTATTTTTTATTATTTAGACATTATGCTGTTCACTATCACACAGAAACTGTCTTCGTTGCTAATATTTCTTCTGGTAGGCATCAGAACAAGTAGAAGCAAATTAATAAATGATGACATGGGAATTACAACAAAATGGATTGACAACTTGCGGGTAAGATTCTGAATAATAATGTTCTGCAGCTTATTCCAGAGCACTGCTAACAGGTGAGATTTATAAATGTTTCTGACAATGCTGTAAACTAAAATGCTTGAGAAATGAATTGTTACTTTTATGAGTCATACTTGTTATTTCATGACTTTATTGCTGTAGTTCCTCTTACATATGTTCTCAGGTTTTACTCCTCACCATAATAACTGCTCTGTTCACAATTTACATGACTGTAACACACATTTTTAAAAACTGCAGTTTGGTTCACCATTCATCTTGTTTCAATCTATCTTTCTATTATTAACACAGCCTAAAATAGATATGGAAAATGGCAATAAAAAGGACTCCTTAGCTCCTCAATCAGACTGAATCCAACAATAGTTCTATGTTAAATCCAGTTCTATATTTTAGCATCTAAATCGAAAGACTGGGAAAGTGCCTATGCAAGCACGTAACTTTTACCTTCTGACCCTGTACCAAGTCCTGCTAATGGTATCTGCACTTTTCTGCACATCACTACAACACCAAATTCCCTTTGTCTCACCATACTGTGTGCCTGTACCTATCACAAAGGCAGAAGAAGCAGGGCACACAAAAGATTATTTGGGTCATTGTCTTCAAAAAGTTAAATAAAACACGTTTTGGCTACTGTCCAACCACATTTTAAAATGAGAAAGTTTTGACCATAGCTTTGTATCTACTGAGCAGCAACATTTAAGGAGAAAGCAAGTGAACTGGAAAGTTTTCAGTGAGTTATTTTCATCTGGTCAATGCACAGTTTTCTTTGTCCCTTCTAATCACGACTGCCCAAGTTCAAATGTCAAATACTTACAACTATCTGATCAAGAATACATTACAAACAGGAGATTATTCAATTCCTTGTTGAACAACCTAAAACAACTACTCTGAGAAAAATCACAAATTACCTTAGGCCGTCTGTAAATGTAAAAAAAGAGTTTCAAATAAATTCTTTGATATGATTTATAGATCCATGTACCAAATGACAGACTTACGTAATCTTAAGTTTATTTTCCTGTACTTTTTTTCCTGTTCTTTTGGCTTCATAGACTTTCCCAAAAGCATCCATTGTCCTCCACTAGCCAAATTAAAAACACTTTGCTGAAAAATTTTGTTTCAAAAAACCAAGCAACACAGGTCTTTTCCCATTCCATGCACTAACCTCATTGCATTTCTGCACATTATTTAATTTCTTTTGATTTATTACACTACTGTTTTCTGATGCTACGGAAGAGACATACTCGAGGGATATGGACCACAGCAGTTCTCAAGCATCACAGGCATGTTCAATAAGTTATTAACAGATTATATTATATACACTACTAAGTGGAAGCAGACAGACATCTAAGAATGACACAGTAATGAGATGATTATGGTCTTCTCATTCCTCTTCATCTGTGCTAACTGCTGCAAATCACAAATTACAGACTCCAGCTACTCTCTGAAAAAATGCTGTGCACAGTAGGTGCCCTATGGAGGCCCTGTCGTTATGGACCTCCTGCATTAACCTATTTGAGAAGGAAAGTGTCATTTCTGTACCTCTAGATCAAGTGGAAGTAAGAGTGCTACCTCACTGAAATTCATACAAGCCCCTACAGAGACTGCTTTGACAGGGAAGTCTTCAGAGAAACCTGCAAACCAGAGCGGGACCCATGTCTGACTCAGTCCTTAGTTGTACAAGCTCCAGCTCAGGCCAGCAGCAACTTGTTACCTAGGTCAGTACCACAGAATCTTCTCACTGGGAAGTCTGGCGTTTTAAAATTGAAAGACCCTACAAGGGGCTCCCAAGGTGGGGTTTCAGTTGGAGAAGGTTCATTAGTCACTGCTCCCTGCTCCCTTTCCAAACAGGTTCCTCCCAACCCTCTCTCATGGCATGGACTGGCACCACAAGTGTGCAAGAGATGTGGAATGGGAAAAAGGCACTGGGCAGATCAGAAGTGGGACAGACAAGGGCTAATGCTTGTTAACTTCACCCACTGTCTACCAACACATATCAGAGACAAAGAGCTTCACCTTGCCAGAGGGAAGTTTAGGCCAACAGGATCCTGCAGTCTCTGACAGCAGCAGCAGAGTCCTATACCAAGAGGGGGAGGAGTGGAAAAACATGGCCAGATCCTCCCACCACAGTCAAGCTAATGGAAGCTCATTTTTGGCAAGAGACAAACCAGTCTCCTCATGAAAAAGATCTCAGGCCTCTGAGCCATGGAGGGCAGTACAAAACCACCCAGCACTACACAGCAGAGCATGGGCTAGTGAGGAACCTGTGCTCAGCCACACAGTGGATGGCAGGAGAGAAGACAGGCAAAGAAGCCACTACACCAAGCTCTGCTGCAGTACAGCTGAAACAAACAGGACTGGCAGATCAGCTGCCTCTAACTTCTCAAGAGAACTGAGCTAACACACTGCAGCTGTGGAGAGGAGGAGAGCATCAAGCCAAGCCTGGCATTTACATGAAAATGAAGACATCTGCAGGCAGGGATACACAGAAGACCCAAAATCCCCTAATCAACAGACTCCAGGCCCAAGTGAATTGTGGTTAAGATCACATTACATTGGATTTTGACATTTAACAAGATAAAAAAAATATATATTTTTTTTATCCCTTTCAGTGGGAATACTGAGCAACAATGCCAGGCACGGATGGCAGAATGACTGGATAAATTACTGGATTTTAGGATACTGAGCTGATTTCTACAAAAGATGCTTAAGTAAATTAAAATACCAACACATAATGCAGCTACCCTAAGTGCTTCCTTTCAGCAGGGCAGTTACTTGCACAGAATTTTGAACTCCTGTATAATACTAAGCATTAGCATAGGCCTTATCCTATTTTACCTGTAACTGATGTGTCTCACAGTTTGACACAACTCCCTACTGGCTTCCCACTGCCATCTAACCAACTATTCCACGTATTCTACTTAATGCAACTGCCACTTACTAAAGCTTTTATCCAAGAAAATGGACCACTTACTGCAATAGGAATCTAGTTAAAAGAACATTACAAAAGGAAAAGATATTATAAACAAAGCAACTGATTTTACTGGACTGACAGAAGAAAAAGCAGATTTGTTTATTTTTTTTCCCAACTTCTACTCAAAGTACTCCACCAGTTGTATCTTGTTGGATCAGAAATTCAGAAAAGCTTACTAATTGTATTAACCAGTGCTTCTAATCTGCCCTGTGATCTGGATATTGCCTCATGAAACCTTCCCAATTAGAACTAGTGATCATGTCTAGTGACTATCTTTGCCTCAAGGTGGTGGGGTGGGAAGGATGTCCCAACTTTTTTTTTTTCCCCCTGTAACCGGAACATGCACAGAGTAATTGAAATGAGAAGAGTACTGTGAGTCTTCCAACAGCTCCATGAACAATGGGGTGAAGAGGTGAAGAGACACTTCAAAGGCATGGCTTCTTAACTATCACAGCCACAGAGCACAGTCTGATCAGAGATCAATGAGCATCTGACATGTCATAACATGTTCATAACACAACAATGTTCATAAACATTCCTTCCGAGTCACAAGCTGGTGCATAAAAACACGTTGGCACAATTTTCATAGTGTGAAGTACATGGTGCCCCTTAGCAATTCAGGACTCCATCTGCACACATCACTGCTGGACTGGACCTACAGCTACGATCACATGCAAAGAAACAACTCAGACAAAATTCAGAGACAGTTCTTTGCTCTCCACCATATTCTGGTTATACCACTTTCTAACAGTTAAAGATTTTTTTTGTCCCATTTTCACAAACTTACAAGAAAACCACATAGATTCTAAATGTTTTTAAGGAGAATCCATGTTCTTCAGCCACCATTTCCTTCTGTTAGATTCTAATGCCTCGCAAACACAGTATTTTAAGCATCTGCAAATTAATCCCTCGTTATGAACTTGTAATTGTATCCTATGATCAGACTCAGCGCCACGCAAAAGAAGAATTTTCCACTTCAGATGTAATATCAGGCTCTAAAGTTCCATAATTTGCCACTTTTGAGATTATGACACAGGCTCACTGTGACCAAGGACTGCAAAATTGCGCTCCATGTAATTGAATCTAAAGATCTGACAACACTGACCTTATCAAGAAATGAAACTCTTGGCTGAGGTTCAACCCAAGCACAGGAAATAAGCTCTTGTTGGTTGTTTGTAAACATCATATAAAAATGTACGGATTCCTTATTAACAACTTGTAAACCAAACACACTCCAGGTCTCAAACTGCTGCCAAGAGCATTTTTACTTAGTATCATAATTTCATTTACATCTACTTCTTCTAATTTTAGCAGAAGAACCAAGCTCATGATTGTAAGAGAGTTAGCATCACGAGATAAACATTCACAGACCACATGCTAAAAAATGAGGACAGAAGAAAAGCTGGGGCCAGATTAATTTTGCCCATAGTGCTGACCCCAGTGACAGCTCTACTTTAGTGTAAGACACAAAAAAAAAAAACCACAAAAAAAAAACCACAATTCTAGGGAGAACCAGGCCCTTGATATCCCAACCTCTGTCAGGGTAAGGCCAGCAATGACAACACAGGACCTGTATTAGTGAGCCATATCCTCTGGGATAAAACAAAATAGAAGGCTCCAGGCAAAACCCCAGGTAATATCAGCACTAGGCTTTTATGATCATCCCAGTCAACTCAAAAATCTGGAAGTTCCATAAAAATTTAGCATGGAGCTACTGTAAATCACCACAATTGCTCTGCAGCAGAATGTCATTTTAGAAGGAGGCACAGAGAACCATGGGGCTTTGAAGATGACCCCATTACGCACCTTTCTGGTCCTTGCAGACAGCTTTCAGCATGCGGCTTCCAGGTCCACATTTTCCATGGTGAGTCACACACATTCCTTCTGAAGTGATCCACTCATAACACACAGGGTCTTCACAAGGAATAGATTCAAATAAATGAGGACAACCTGCCAGGGTGCCTACCGGATCCACGATCACTTGCCTTTGTCTCATTCTAAAACCTGCAAAAAGAGAAACTGAATTAACTGGACTACAGCAAAAAAAAAAATCCAAACATTTATAGCAATAATCTAGGACAGTCATCTGGAACTGGAGAGTATGAAGACAAACACACAACACTTAAAAAAAGCACTGATTGGAACAGCACTCGGCTGTATGTGCCTACAGTCCAGGCGCATAAACTCTAATACTTTGTAAAGAATTCCAATAACCCACATTTTCACATTTCCTTTTCATCACCACTAGATAAAAATACACATGTCCAAATACAGGAATTTGCCTCTGACGCATGTATTAATGTGATAACAACACTAAGATAAAAAGAGAGAAACAGTTAAGGAAGTGAAGATGTAAAGGATATCTATATTCTGCCTGGGAATCCACTAATGAAAAGGTTTGTTTTGAGATACAGCAGAGCAGTTTACTAAGAAATTAGTATTCTGCTTTATGAAGGTGTAGGGATTTCTGATACATAATGCATATCAGGCCTCTTTGAAATGACATCCTATTAAATTGGAAGATTCAAATGTAAAGTGGAAGAAAAAGGTTAGAGAAATAATGAAAGAATTGATTACATAATCTACCTCCTTCTGAATAAAACCAAAAGTCATGTTGCTATGTAAAGTGCAGAACTAATACGACAGTATCTTTCAGCATGTTTTGTTATGTAAATGACCCAGAATTCTAAGAAAGGCAAAAAAACACCCATGGTGGTCTTTCCTACAAGAGTCTCAGACAAGGGGCAAATATACAGCATTAGTGAGGGTCACATGGAAATGTCTTAGCCACACCACAGAGAAGAAAGTGAAAAATAAAACATTACAGAGGCTACAACAGACCAAAATTCCAGCATGCTCAAACCAGAAAAAAGAAATAATTCAAAATAATTTTTAAATGAAATGGTTTTCCAAATCTTTATATTTAACAATATTTTTAAAAATAAAAAATCACTCAAATCACTCAAAAAACTTAGGCTGTTTTCAGAAAAATGTCATTTCTAAGCAATAATATTAATTCCCTGATATGATATGAATTCTAACAGGGATCTTTTGAACTTAAGAGCCTTAGGAATGGCTCTGCAATGAACCTCAAAGTGCTGCAGCTACAAACAGGCACACTAGTCAATTAAGATCCGGGGAGGTTACATTATATTTGCATAGTCTTCTTCCAGGAATTTAAACTCAAACCCAGAACAACAGGAACAATGTCTTGGATCAGCCTAACTCCAGGATGGCAGGGCTGAAGGAAACACCTTTCAGCCTCACCCCAGCATTGCCCTCAAATTCAAGCAGCAGGACTTCCAAGGGACAGCCTGGCACTATAGAGGTCTGCAGCTGCTGTTCCAAGAAATTCTCCTTTGCTACAAATTCAGTACAGGATAAAAGGATCTCAATTAGGCTGAAAATCTTTTTTTGTTTTGTTTTCTTATCCCAAGAATAACTGCAAAAAGCTTTTAAAGGTCATATTCCACTCCTGTATGCGCAGGTAAGAGCTTCATCCTATGTTAGATTAATTTTTTTAAAAAAACACCACCTGACATTAGGTTTCCAATATAGACTTTGACACCACTGCTCTTGCAATTTTATCATAATATTCCATTACCCACTCCAGACTGCAAAAGTAATCCATAGAGCAGCTCTTACCTCTTCTGCCATGGTGGTCCTGGCAGTTCTCAGGCAGGCAGGGGCCCCAGAGCGACCAGACTGACACCGCGCACACAGACGGGCACGGCAGGTTACACAGCTGGGAGGCAGAGGGAGCAGGACTCAGGCAGAGCTTCCCATCGACTGGTCTGGTAACTGAGAGGAAAAAAAAAAAAAGGAAAAATGAGAAAAGAAGGGTGGTAACTTTGCCCTGAGTAACACAAAGAACTTCCTCAGAGTTTACTGCCAGCATCTACTTTCCAGAACACAGCAAAATCCAGTGCTGTTTTAGGGTTAAGAGAGGCACTTAAGTTCTAACAAAATCACCTCTATTCAGCAGGCCAGTTAAGAGTGTGCTTAATGGCAAAACAGGTGCTTTTAAGCTAAGTTCAAGACTGATTTTCTACAATGCCTGAGCAACAAACTGGAATCTAATCCCCCACATTTATGGCTAAGGAGACCTCTTTACACTGTACTGAGAAGGAAGACGTCAGAAGGAAATCCAAAAAGCTCCCACTGCAATTGGGAGCCAGACAGAGGCAGGTGGCAAAAGCCTGAGAATGGGGACATCTCCCCACACCTATCCCCTTCAAGGGTGCTGCCATCTCTAGATTATAGATGCAGCATTCAGATATTTGAATTTTCTTCATCTACTTTCAATAGCATTTAGCAGAGCTCTTGGTTTCTTCTACACAATCATATGCAGAAACCATCTTCCCTGCCTGGGAGGCGAGACATTTCCTTGAGCTGCCTGCATCCAAGGCAGACACAGATCTCAAAAACTCTTCATCCAAGAGATGAGACAACCCAAACTCTGCCAAGTACCAGTTTAGTTGATACTGACAACAAATTTGGAAATATCCCCTCTGTATTTTCATGTACCATAAGATTTCTCTAGTTTCAATTAACTTCTCTTACCTTTTTATTTGGGGCAGAAGGAGGAAGGAAAAGAAGGGGAAAGACCCTTAAATCTATTTTCTGAGTCATTATATGATACTGCATTTTAATTACATTATGAGCTGAATTTGGCTGTCTCTTTAGATAAATCAGTAACAAAGCAGTCTTTTCAAAACACAAAGGCTTGTTTGAGTTTACTCTACCGTGGTATTACCAAGACTTCATTAATTTTTATAGCTACTGAATTTGCTTTATTCTCGTTTTTATTTTTAATGTCTATTTTCCTTTGCTCCCATGCATGGAATTGACTTGAAAAGAATTTATAAAAATATGCCCCATGTATAAGTAATCCTTCCTTTTTCTGATATTTTATTTTTTTTTTTTTTTTAATGAATAATTTGAAGAAAAACATAACCTTTTTTTTCATACAAAACTTCAGTGCTCAAAAGCCCCCCAAAAAATGATTTGCACATCCTGAACCTGAGACTTCAGACCATTATCAGTGCTTATGCCATCAGCATAACAGGATTAAACAACTGATGTGATTTAATTCTAAGCTGAAAGATAACACATTAGTAAAAAAGACCATCTTCTGAATGATTTCTGAGACACTGTAAGGCCTCTGCCATGTTCATGTAGAGATTACAACACGGTGGCACAAATCCAATTTACCTGAAAGCTAACATAAACAGACCTTTTCTAGAGACCTTGAAAATGAAGTGACAGACAGAATGAAATAAATATTTGAGTTTTAAGGATAAGAGTAATTATTTTACCAAGAAGTCTCATGCATGGCTTAACCTGCCTTTCAGCACCAAGCTTAAAAACTGTATCATTTTCTGAGAGTTCACTTGAAGAAATGAAAGAAAACTGAGTGCAGATGGTCACACCAAGGAATAAAGTCCAGTCCTACTCTGCTTTAACTCAAGGTGGTGTTGTTAGCAATGGCTCTTTCCTCCTCTGATTTTTAGATTGTTTCTATATTGCAATTTAACTATTCAAACATGGAAGCCACTAGATAACGCAGGTTGGTTCCCCTGCCTTGAAAACTAATCAGCTACAACCAGTGGTGCTAAGGGTACTTTAGAACTGACTTTTTGATAAAAGAAAAAACAAGAAAAATTTATCATAAAAAGTTAAAGGAGCAGTTTTTTGTTGCCCTACCAGCCATTCCAGACTCATGGAAGTCTTATTCCTATTCTAGAGGAAACCCCAAGCTTCCTCTCCCTACCCTTGCTTCTCTTCCCCCCTTGGGTGACACCCTATTTAATTCCTGCACTGGGAGCTCTCTTCCCAGGACCAACATTGTACTTGTCACTGAAATAAGACTGTTTGTTGACTCACTTCCTTGAGCAATTCTATATACTCTGTAAAATGTAAATCAGAAAATAGAGACTATTCTAATAAAAAATCAAAATATATTCTAGGTCTGTGCCAGCTTACAATCCTCCAGTGAAAGTCCTGAGGAATAAGTAAAGAATAAAAAGGCTAGTTGCACTAATAAATGCATATATAATACCATCCTGTTCCAAAACCAGGCAGGTATAAAGAGCCACAACTTCCAGCATGATAGCCAGAGTGACTGGATAGACCAGTGGTGTCCTCTATAAAAACGGTATCCCTTCTTCAGCCATTTATTTGACAACTCTGATTTCCATCAGTTTGGTTTTTTTAAAAACCTTGATGTGATTTTCTATTGCTATCCTTCATACTGTTCTCTTTTCTCTCTCTCTGTCTCTCTAAGAACTATAAAACTGGGTTTTTTTCCTGAGCCCCTAAGTTGTCACACACTGCATCCCCCCAAAAACGCACAGATAACCTGGCTGGAGATGCCCTGTTCAGGGGAAAAAAAACCCCAACATATTATGCCTATGATAAATTAACATGGCAGCTAGGACTGTGTTTTGTACCAGAGAGTCTTCTGATTTTGCTTGGTAATTGACTCTGTAATGGCAATTTCCTACACTTAGATTAAAAAGTGGGGTTTGTGTAATTAATTTCCTTAGAAAAACGTTAGCCACCTTTCTGGGGGGAAAGGCAGAAGCCAGGGATGAGAAGAGTGGGAGGGGAGGTAATATCTCTGATTCAAGTAGCAGTTTATTTATTAGGCTTGTTCGTACCTTTTAAAATCCTGGGCTCTTCCCCACCTATAGAAACGAACTTGAAAAAGCAATCAAGTACTAACCTGGGAGCCTCTGAAACATTGCACATTTCTATAGCTGTTATATTGAATCTATCCTTTATAAATGCGACTACAGCTGATCCCAGCATCAGTGTCTGCCTCAAGTTTGAATTTTACTATTTGCTGTTATTCTCAGGTTATTGCTACCAGCAGGAGATAATAAATTGCGTTCTAAAGTATCTTCGTTTCTCTCTATATTTTTACTGTGGTAGTGACTTGGAGAAGTGGAAGAGGAAATCAGCTCTGATATGATTACTTCCATAATGTAATTTTAAGCCAATAAATAAATTATCTGTGAATTTAGTCATATGAACACATACTTGCAGGCACGCATACCAACACTATGTTAAAAAGCAATGATGGCCAGACATAAGGAGAAATGTATAGGATGGCATTTTGGTTGCAGCGATTCCTTTCAAATTTAGGTTTTTCAAATCCTCAGGAGATAAAAGAATACTTTTTTTTCCCAGACTTTAGTTTCGTTTCCCTTTCAGAATGACAAAAAAAAAAAAGTATTTCTGATATTAACATCTAAATGAGACATTTCTAAGTATCACTAAGAGAACTGGAATACACAAAGAATATCAGGGCTGTCTCTAGTGCAGTCGTATTCTGGCCAATATTCAATTCTCAAGGCAAAAATCCAGATGTTTACCATATCTTTTGGCAAAATAAAGGCAAAATAACAATTGCCAGGGTAGAAGAAAGAGATGGCACATCTTTGTAGAAGTTCTACTGCCTTTTCCAAGATTTATAAACCAAAGACACTTGGATCAATATGAAGGGAAATTACTTGAGAAAATCACAAAGGAATGAGTTTTGTTATAAAAACACCTACATGTGTAAAACATAATAGGGATTAACCCAGCACATTTTTAAGTAATTGCTCTAACCTGAAAGACTTGTTTTTATAGCCAAAAACAAAAGATTAGACAAAGGAGAAGTGGTGAATATAATTTAACTAGCCTGGAAATGGCACCAACCCTGGTCCGGTGCATCCCTCCATTACAAAGCCGAATGCACCCCATGCCTGCTAGAAAAGGTGCCTTTATGCTTTTAAGAAGAATCAATTAGTTTTGAAGCCACAAGGCACAAATTTGAAGCTCTATTTTCAATTAAAGTCTATTTAATAGACAAGAAACAAACTATGAATAGAAGGCTAATCACAGCATGAAAGAGGGTTAATAGCAGATTGCCAAGAGCAACAACGGTTTAATATATTTCTGAACAATAAAGCTCCTTGCAATTTTATTAAAGTGACACAGACTATTAGCACTTCATGGAATAGAAAATTTCCCTGTGTCCATAGCCTCTGCTGTACAATGGGACCCCTTCCACCCCAACCAGCATGTTGTGTTGTTTCATTATTGAATTTGTAGAGGTTATCAACAGAAACAGCAGATCAAGTTGGCCTCGATGACCCTTAAGGGTCCCCTCCAACTTTAGATATTCTATAATCTGGTAGAAGTTGAGAGTGAACTCAGGCTTCCCACTGGCACCTGAATGAGCAGACCAGAGGTGACAAGTTGTTAAGAGCATCCAGAAAAAAACAGTGGAGGCAACAGGGATGCCAGTGAATGCAATGATGGGAAAGAATAAGAGGATTCTCCAGAATATTTGAAACTTGCTGGCTGTTGTCCAGAAAAGACCACCAGATGCTGGAAGTCAGCGGGTCAGACCACCAGAGAGAGTGAGAGAAGCCACACGGAAAACAGGGAAGAAAGTGCAAAGCTGGGAATGCACTTTATGAAAGACTCCTGAGATGCTGAACTTTGCCCATCACCAGGTTTAGAATTCACTCAAACAGTAAGAAGCACCACGGAGCAGGAACCTGTTCTGTGAACATCACACCACTCCTGGTTCCAGGAGAAAGGCACCACTACGGAAGTGTCTACGATATTGGGATGTGGCACAGGTGGCCCAAAGCTAAACTAGTGACACATTATCTAATCCACCCGTGGCATGACCCTGCCTGCTCAGGTCCCAAAAGCAGCAAGGCTGCTCCATGCAAAGCTGGCCCAACTTAACAGCTCCATTTAATATCTCCTGCTCCAGAACCAGACCAGCCACCACTATG